TGAACCTGTGTATACATAAATCAAACTTCAAAAATCAATTTATTAATTACTGCAGGCCAAATTAAGCAAAGGTTCGGAAAACTCGTTTAAAAATGGCCCCCAAGAAGTGTGCGTTAATACTGGCACTGGTCAACTGATAGCAACTAAAGAACAGCAAAAAGTAAGTTTTTTACAAAACTTTTAAAACCTTCTTTCTGTAAGTCACCCTATAAATAAACATTTTCAAAAATTTTCTATTAAAAAATGTTTAAAATTCTTGAGTCCGAGAAAGAGAGGAAAAAGGAGAACAACTATTTATGATTATTCATATAAAGCAATTAAGACTTTTAAATTGGAGCTTTTTGAACGTAATGTTGCAGAAAGTAAGCAAAATATTTGCCTATTTAGAGCTTCGATGACGTTTTCATTTTTTCTTTTTTACTTCAGATACAATTTTGAATACCTTGCAATTTTAATCATTTATAGCCCTAAAACAGAAAAAGGGTCTTACAATAGCTATATCCCTTAAATGATTCTTTAAATCGTGTGTATCGCTGTAAATGCTGCACTAACACTACACATGCCTCCCTCGAAAACCATACCAAACATTTACCATAACTAATGGTAATGACATACTGCTCTATAACCTACATAAGTCTGAAACTTGCATGATTCAGCCTATAATTATTCTAAATTTCACTTATGTTTTTCATTCTTTTTTAAAAGCTCACATTATGCCCACAACAAGGAAAGATCAAACGACAAACAACACGGCAATAAGCCAACCTTTTAACGCTGCTTTTTTTAATACCTGTACCAACAGCTTAACAATGTCAGTTCTTTTTATCGCACTAACCGGATCTTACAAAAGCGCTGGCAGTATCTCCATTCCGTCTAACGTCTTGGTTACTGAAAGGTGAACAATCTTCTTAAGCTCACAAAAGAAAAAACTTAAATGCGCTTACCTGTTAGCGGAAACTATTTGCTCCAAAAGTCTGCAGAACGTTACCTATTTCTGAAGACATTTCTTCAAGCAGTATGCTGTTGGTATAATGTAATAAACCGTTAACTCCTGAATTTGTCATTAACCAGAACTTACAAAAACATAACATTAACGCCAATGACCTCGAAAAACTGCAATAAATACTCAATAATGGAATTAAATAAATTTTTAAATGATGTAATATAGCTTGCATCAGTTATCGGCTAAGAGAATTACCTAATTAGTACTATTAGATACTACAGCAGGTCTTTAACAAAAAAGAAAAACACCAATAATTCCCGGTGTATACTTCTCCTTCTAAAGAAAACTACCGCCTTCAAAATCTGACTGCTGGAAAAACATAATCAGCTTTGTTCGGTTTCGCGCAAAAAATATGAAGCTGGTTTACTGTACATGCCTAAACATAAAAAAAGAGGGAATCTCCGTAAGCAAGACTGACCTGCTGATAGAAGCACCAGATCCATAATTTATTAATTCTCAACAGTCAGCCTTTGTGACCATCTAGATGGCTATTCAACTAGGCCAATTACTCAGCAAAAAAAAATTAAGTCGGTGCTTCCAAGTTGAGCTTTCACTGTTTAATTTTAAACTTTTTTCCAAGAATTCATCTCGTAGCTCTCTCTGAATTTCACCAAAATCTGTTATTTCCATTTTAATCAGTCTAAAAACTAATAAAGAGCACTTCCTAGTAATCTTGCAAAAATAACAACCAATAGATCACATTAAATTTAACGTTCAACTTTTCATTTTCTCGACATTATTAATCGAGATTGTTGTTGACACTACTTATTCCGTAAATTTTTTGCACAAATCCTTAACTGCGTAGCAGAAACTGTTAAAGTACAGTTGCCCTTCTACCGAATAAAAGCAATTCCATCAATCTCAATGAATCAAAAACCTTATCTTCATTACTTTCTACACCATATTACGTGTATCCCTAGCTAGAAGTTGATCCCCACGCCCCGCTACATTAAATTAAGTTAAAAGAACGGTCTAGAAAAACAAAATTATGCAACTCTGCTTACTTTGCAAAACTTTTAACAAGCATTTCAGAAACTTACTATTTAAAAAAAAGCAGTAATTCCCAGACAAAGCCGTTTTACTCCCACTAAAAATATCTGGTAAATTTCAATTAAACAAATAACGCCTTAGCACTCCTCAGCAACTATAAAGCAGTAGCAGGGAAACAGCATTTCCAGGGCTGTAATAACCTTCCTAATAAATACAAATATCTACTAATAAAATATATTAACGTCGTTTGCAGTGCACGTCAATGAAATTAAAAACCAGGTAAAAAACCCCAATGCCTCTCAAGAAAAAGAAAGTATTGCAACTTTAATGCTTCCTCCTTCACCCTAGTCCAACACCATCCATAACTTTATTTACGAAAACTCAATCCCACCACTAAAACAAAAAAAAAAAACTGAAAGACTTTACTGACAATAATCCATACCAGACGTGTGTAAATCTACCTGGAAGAACTAACATTTCAGATCGACGAACGACAAAGTGAATCACACGAACTGAAACGGAAGAAAGTCCGGATGCCCAACGGCTGGGTGTTGCTGAGCGAAAGACTCGACTGGATATTGATGTGCTTCTTTTTAATTCTTGTCACTGTACCTGTTATCACTCTGTTTCTACTTATGTGAGTATGTTCTAACTCTATCGAATTCTCAATATTTTATCATGACACTCATTTACTGCAACAACTAACGAACAATAACAAACAGCCAGGTCAATTTACCAGCACTCGTGCCATAGACACATACACACACGAAAACACACATCTTGAACCTGACTATTTCACAAAGCTCATAAGAACCGCTGCATTAAACGAAAAAAGGAAAGAAAAAACAAATAAGTTGGTTCTAATAAATGGGCTACACCGCAAAATAACGACAGAAACTGCGGAATGTACGAATTTAGCTAACCAGACAAACCAATAACCCTCCATAATACCAACGAAAAGCAACAAACATCAAAGACATCTAGAACCCAACAAAACAACTTCTGAACTTAATCAAGAACGAAAAATAACCAATCTCACAACATCAAACTATTCTTCCTTACAACCTCTGCTGATCTCACCACTCTGTACCAACCATTTCCTTTCACTAAATCTCCAGAAATCTGTAGTGTCGTGTCTTCGCAAAGACCCGCATTACGCACGTCAATAAAACAACACACCACTGATTTCAAGAGACCTTGAGAAAGAAAATTTAGCGACCTGATCGCAAAAGAAATTGGTAGCATACGAGCCTCCCCAACAGTCGTGAGAAACGAAACCTTACAAAAAAAGCTTCTAAACTCCAGCATCATAACAAAAGGAGATCTAATTCCACTATACCATACCGCCTCGAGACCGACAAGTGCAAACCCTATCTAAACAACAAACGTCCCTCCACTTGAAAAACTCCCACAACAAACATATCCCATACATATCTGCAGGTCGCACAGTAACTATTCCAACCTTTAAAAACCTACTAAGAGAATAATGTTGAACTACTACAACACAAAACTTCAAAAAGAAAAACCTGACGCTTTAAAAAGTTCCTGAAATTCTACAATAGTCATTAAAGTAGTCACTACTCACAAATTCCAAAAATAACCACAACCCCACATTTCTCAACCCTAAATAAACCACCGCTAGATGCCATTGTCAGCCGTCCAATTGAGAGGAAAAACACTTTAGTTCAAAACTAGACAACCAGCAAAAAATCATATAAAAATTCACGTACGGTAAGACCGCGAAAAACAATATTAAAAGGGGTTCTAATAAGACGAAACCAAAAGCTTCTTATAACAAATGGCAGTAACAGTGAAGAAACAAGTTGAAGCACGGTACAGTAACAGGACAATTACAGTTACTGCTCCTCTTCAGGAGATGGACTGCGTTTTGTCTCTTCTTTCATCTCTTCATCTGGCTTTTGCGAATAAGACTGTGAACGTGAACGAGAGCGAGATCTGGATTGAGATTCGGAACGGCTATGAGAACGAGATTTCGATTTCTCCTTTCCAGGGCTTTCAGAGCGAGACTTGCTGCGGCTCCTAGAACGAGAAGAGCCGCTCTTTCGAGAGCGTGACCTGGATCTTGTCCTTGAACGGCTAAAAACCATAAAACGAGACTAATTAACAAGCAGAAACTGCGATTTTAATCAACAGGTAAAGGCTAGAAGCGTCACCTGCGGTCGCTGTCTGTCTTCTCTGAGTCGTCAATTAACTTGATTCTTTTACCATTTATATCTTTGCCTTGATATTTCTCAATAGCCCGTTTCAGATCAGCACGAGTCCCAAAACAAACAATCCTAAACAGAAAATGTAATATCGAAAAAAATGCTCAACAACTGTGAATAAAACTGCAGATATCATGTGGCTGCTAGAAAAACTTCAAAAAAAAGAAAATTTTATAAATAAAGTCGTTGCTGAAAGCTACGCTAATCATAAATGCCTCAAGATCCAGCCCCTAAGCCCAAAGATGTCGGCTTAAAGGTAAAAAATGTTACAAGAAACTTCAAGCATAACAACAATAAACAAAAAACAGAACTGCAAAGAAATAAAAACCACTTACCCCTCATTTGCATGTTGCTTGTGGGCATCTGCGTAAGTCACTTCCCCAGCCCCACGCATGATATCTTTCAGATCCTAAAACAATAGACTGCTTTAAGCAACTTCGATGTGCTTCTGATTAACCCCTCAACCCAATTACTCTGCTGCATCTAATGTACAAGCACTACTACTTGATATTGTGTAACAAAAAGCTTTAGACATAAACATTTTCTGGCGAAAGATAGATCCTCAGTCAGCCAAATTTTCACTTCGGCAACTATCTGTTCACATAACTAACCGGTGAATAAACTTGCTGCGCTAATCAGCATCACGAACGAAGCAAGTTTGAGGCGAAACAACACCTGAGGATCACCTCTTCACAAAACGCCTATATACGATCTGTTATCATAAAGAGTGGCCAAATTTACGCTAGTTGAGACGCCGTTGCACCCCAAAAACACGTACGCACCAAAACAGTCCTTTTCGGTTAACTAAAATTTAAGTGCTAAAAAACCAATGCCACATTCCCCGCAATTCGACTGCTTCCCGCCTGATGCTTCTTAGTACTCAGAGGCAGCGATAATCACGTCTCCACGCTCAACACCTCCATATCGAAAAGCATTTTTCTCACCTGCCAAGAACAACGTGACGACAAATTTTCCACAATCAACCGGTGACGCGTTTGCTGAGGCGGCCCATACCTGAAATCCAGCATAAACTGTTAATCATAATAAAGATCGAACTTAACATGAATCAAAGAATAAGTTGAAAAGTAAGACCTTGACATTCTAGGCGGTGGACGCCGATCATAACCTCCATAACCACCTCGTCTTGCAGGCAGCTTACGAGAAAACTCGAGAATAACTCGTTCACCACATAATTCCTTGCCGTTCAATTCATACACAGCGTCATCTGCATCGCGGGGATCATCGAATTCCTTTACAAAAAGTAAAACGCAAAGCTGCCGGCCGAAGTTTCAAAATGCAATAGTAAATGAACTTCACATTACGCTGACTGCATACAGCACATAGCCGCAGAGAAGCAAAAAATCAAAAATGAGAATGCAGTGATAAAACTTACAACAAACCCAAATCCATTCTTCAATACCATATCCCGAATGCGTCCATAACCTCGAAAAAAATGCTCAATATCTCTTTCAGATGCTCTGTACGAGAGACGGCCAATGTAAACTCTAGTGCTAGACGTCATTTCATCAAATAGTCAGTAGCGCGTCGTATAATACGCCCTATTCCCTGAACACATAAAACTCACGACTGGAAAATTTTTATGTATGTACGGACAGAGCTGACGCGCGCACAACGAAAGCTGGCAGACTGCCAAAAAAACGAATATCGCGGCACACTTCACAACGAGACAACAAATGACGCTAATTTATGTACTCAAAAACTATTGGCAATATGCATTTACCCAAGTCGGGGGGCCAAATCTTCGGCAAACTTTAAACGATGAAACCGATTGTCTTCTGAAGCCCTTCTTACTGACCTAAAGCGGCCCGCTGACTGGAGCCATACATCGGAGTATTAGTGATAAAAATGGCCCATAATGTTTGCAGTTATGACTCAATACACATATTAACCCTACTACGTGCACATTCGATGACCACCCAGTGTCATGTAACTCTACGCTGATAAAAGTTACTCTGACTGTGACTGCAAGAAAAAAAAAAAGGATAACTAAACGATATAAAGAGAGTAAAAATACCAACTAAGAGACAAACTTAGAGCACTACCGCCGACCAATAATAATTTTTAATCATTCCCAACACTTCAAGCTTCTCTAATATGCCCAACAAGCTAATTTACAGTCAAAAGTGTACGGAAACTTTCGCGATAATCACTCTCCTCCCCTTCCCAAAAAAAAAAAAAACTTTGAGTATTAAAAATGGCAGTGTACCACGACACTTTGCTTCCCTTTCAAGTCAGAAAACAAGTTTAGGCCCTCATAAACAAGGAATATGTTACTCTAGTTAGAGCAGTCCCAGAAGTCAAAAATACTTGCATTCAAAAGCGTTCAAAAAAAAAACCTCGAAATAAAATCAGAAGAGAAAAGAATTTGCAGAAAAACTCTTTCCAAAAAAAAAAAAAGAAAAAAAAAAAGGGAATAAAGATAAAAACTAATAAAGTAAAAATAAAATAAAATTCGAAGAAGCAAATGATACCATAACACAAGTCTGCAGCGACCCAGGAGGGAAAATGCTGAGCGTAAATTGCCCTACACATCAATCTTTAATTATTGGCCTGTAACGTAACTTTTCTCACTACAGGACACTAACTTTAAAAAATTGTACTTTGCAGCCGTAAATTTTACCAATTAAAGCAAAGAAGAAAACAATTCCTACTGCTCTTCCACTGATCAGTTTTATATGCGTCAGAAATGGTGCTGATGTGGTGCTCAGATTCTGCTCTTATAAACACTCTTGCTGCTTGAAGTAATATCTGAACACCGGTTCATTAAGATTTTTTTGGTTCAAATGCTCAATAACTCAAATTAATACAAGGTGAGACAGTGGTATTTTAGTATAACCTTATGATTCTTAAATTTTTTTCAAAGGAAGTAGGATATGATTCATCTGATGGTGTTGCTGTAGCTTATTATTTTAATTTTTCGAATTCTCAACCGTTGAATTTATTATGGACTTTTAATGTTGTTGTTTAATAATGTCTCATCATTTCATGATAGCACTTAACGAGATAATCAAGACATTCAGAAAATGCTTACTATATACAGTCGGCCAAGTCGTGAGTTGTGGTTTTTTCGGCACAAGTTCCAGCAATTCTTTTGTTCGGCTATGTCGTTGTCATCAGAGTTTCTTCCAGTTTTGGGCATTGAAACAAGGTGAGTTTCAATTTAAAGTTTTGTTTTATTTTATTTTATTTTTTTAAGCGTCTTGATATGGATCGGTTAAATGTTCTAAAAAGGTATGATTAGAAATGCTGAAACAGAGAGGAATATACAGTTTGTGAAAATATTGTAAAGGTATCAATGTACTCTGTATTTAGCTGTGACGATACTGCAGTTAGCATTGTAACGGATCGTATCCTTAGCAGTCGCCAGTTTTCTGATCGTGTGACTCAAGTACGTCTTGGTGGTATCTGCCCCTCGGTGTCTGCCCTACAGGTGCATCATTAAATCTTTTTCAACTCGTCTCTAATTTGTTTCGGATTTATTCATACTACATAAATGTACTCTTATAAAAAAGCTAACACTTAGGACTGAAT